GCACTGTGGGGTGCTTGGGACCTCCACACCTTGCCTGCCACCCTGCACAGTGGGGTGGTTGGGACCCTCATACTTTATCTGGCCCCATGGAGACACTGGGAAGGTGTCACCCCCAAACCAGTGACCAGCAAGGGACAGGGTGGCCACGGGGCAGCAGAGGAGCAGGGTCCCTCCACTTCTGTGTTATGGGGAGGCCTGGTGGGGAGCGTGTCCCCCTGCCCCTTCCCTGATGCTTTTTGGTGTTCCCCTAGATGCCAGGGAGCCTCTCCACGGCCCTACGTGTCGTGGGGACCAGCCTCTTTGCCGTGGCGGTGCTGGGGGGAATCCTGGCTGCCTACGTCACAGGGTACCAGTTCATCCATACAGAGAAGCACTACCTCTCCTTTGGGCTCTACGGGGCCATCCTGGGGCTGCATCTCTTCATCCAGAGCCTCTTTGCCTTCCTGGAGCACCGGCGCATGCGGGGTGAGGGGCAGCTGGTGCGGCCGGGGCGCTCTGTGGCCCTTTGCATCGCTGCCTTCCAGGAGGATCCCGACTACCTGACGAAGTGCCTGCGCTCTGTCAAACGCATCGCCTTCCCCGACCTCAAAGTGGTGATGGTGGTGGATGGAAATGGCCCTGATGACACCTACATGCTGGACATCTTCCATGACGTGATGGGCTCCGAGCGCTCAGGCAGCTACATCTGGAGGAGCAACTTCCACGCACAGGGCGAGGGAGAGACGGAGGCCGGGCTGCGGGAAGGGCTGGCCCATGTCCAGGCGCTGGTGCGCAGCAACACCTACTCCTGCATCCTCCAGAAGTGGGGCGGGAAGCGGGAGGTGATGTACACGGCCTTCCGGGCGCTCGGAGACTCTGTGGACTACATCCAGGTGGATGCATGGGCTGGGGGGATGTGGGCAGGGAGTGTCCTGCCTGCATAGCTGGGCAGAGGGGCTGTGGGTGGGATGGGAGCAGCCCTGGGAGCCCGCAGGAGCACTTGGGTGCCTGGATGTGGCCCCACACACCGGCCCTGAGCCACTAGCACTGGGGCTGGGGGTGACTGGCACTGAAGTGACCAAGGGGTCGAGCCCTGTCTGCAAGGGTGCCACATCACCTCCTCAGCATGTGCCCTGGCATGGTGTCACTGAGTGGGACAACGTGGCACAGTGCAGCGTCCTGGGTCCCCAGGGTGGCTGGGACAGGTCCTCCATCAGTTCTGGGGAAGGGTGTCCTGGGGCAGTGGTGTCCAGGCACCACGGGGTGCTCCACTCCCTGCCATCGCCTGCCGGCCTCCAGGGCCCTGCCTGGTCTCGCCATCCATGGCTCGGGCTTGCCCGGCTGCGGGCTGGGCTGTTTGCCGGGTGCGTGTGGGCGGCGGGAGCGGGGCTCGACGTTCCCTCTGCCCCCAGGTGTGTGACTCAGACACGGTGCTGGACCCCGCCTGCACTGCCGAAATGCTCCGCATCCTGGAGGCCGACCCCCGTGTTGGCGGCGTCGGTGGTGATGTGCAGGTACCTCGGTGCGAGGGAGGGCACCCCAGGGCGGCGAGGCGAGGGCAGGGCTGGGAGTGCCGGGGGCTGCAGCAGTGCCGGAGCTCACATCCCTCCCCTCTCTAGATCCTGAACAAGTACGACTCGTGGCTCTCCTTCCTGAGCAGCGTGCGGTACTGGATGGCCTTCAACGTGGAGCGTGCGTGCCAGTCGTACTTCGGGTGCGTGCAGTGCATCAGTGGCCCCCTGGGCATGTACCGCAATGCCCTCCTGCAGCAGTTCCTCGAGGACTGGTACCACCAGACCTTCCTGGGCAGCAAGTGCAGTTTCGGGGATGACCGGCACCTCACCAACCGTGTGCTCAGCCTGGGCTACCAGACCAAGTACACGGCTCGCTCCAAGTGCCTGACGGAGACACCCACGCGGTACCTGCGCTGGCTCAACCAGCAGACCCGCTGGAGCAAGTCCTACTTTCGTGAGTGGCTCTACAATGCACTGTGGTTCCACAAGCATCACCTCTGGATGACCTATGAGTCGGTGGTCACTGGGTTCTTCCCCTTCTTCCTCATTGCCACTGTCATCCAGCTCTTCTACCGCGGTCGCATCTGGAACATCCTCCTGTTCCTGCTGACGGTGCAGCTGGTGGGTGTCATCAAGGCCACCTACGCCTGCTTCCTGCGTGGCAATGCCGAGATGATCTTCATGTCCCTCTACGCCCTCCTCTACATGTCCAGCCTGCTGCCCGCCAAGATCTTCGCCATCGCCACCATCAACAAGTCGGGCTGGGGCACCTCAGGGCGCCGCACCATTGTGGTGAACTTTGTGGGGCTGCTGCCAGTGTCAGTGTGGGTGGCAGTGCTGCTGGGTGGGCTGGCCTACACTGCCTACAGCCAGGACCTCTTCAGCGAGACTGAGGTGGTCTTCCTTATTTCAGGTGCCATCCTCTATGCCTGCTACTGGGTGGCCCTGCTCGCCCTCTACCTGGCCATCATCGCCCGCCGCTGTGGCAAGCGGGAGGAGCAGTGTGGGCTGGCCTTCACTGAGGTCTGACTGCAGGGTGCTGCCACATGCTGGGGGGTTCCTGTGTGCCAGAGCAATCATCCCCAGTCCCCTCTTCCCCCATCCTGGAGCTGGGATGGTAGAAGTGCCAGGTGCTGGGGTGTCCCTGTGTGCCAGAGCAACCGCCCCAGATCCCCTCTTCCCCCATCCCAGAGCCACCAGGTGCTGGGCAGTGCCAGGATAACTACCCCCAGTCCCCTTTCCCATCCCAGAGCCAACGGGCAGCGCTGAGCGCTCCTACCCCTTGGCATTTCTCAGCAAATCTTGAAATCTTGATAATTTTTTTATTAATATGTTTATTTTTTCCTTATCATTTCTCCATCCCAAGCTGGCCGTGGAGAAGCCAAGCCAGGGCTGCCTATCACCCACCTGGGTGCCGCTGGCCACATCCCTGCTGTGCCCTATGGAGCATCCTGGTGCCGAGCGCTGCTGGCTGCGCTCCCCCCACCCCAATCCAGAATTTTCCACCTTTTGGTGCTTTTTATAGGGATTTCAGTCCCACCTCCACGGTGCTACAGCACTTCCCACCCCCAGGACACACCATCTCCATCTGGCATGGTGCCAGCACTGCTGGATTGTGCTGCCTTTGCTCCACTGCTGCGTGCAGGCACGTACCCACGGGGAGCCCCTCCAGCCCTTTTTGGGGGGGCCTGGCTGCTCCAGGAGGGCAGCAGGTCCCTTCAGCTTTGCCAAAGAGCCAATGGGGGAATCCTGGTGTGGAGAAACTGGGAAAATGGGGGGAGCTGTGGGTTGTGTGGAGCATTCCCCTCAAAGGGGCTGTGGTGGTGCTCTGGCAATTCATGGCCCCATCATTCCCACCCCACTGCCTTCTCAACAGTAGGAAGACACTGGGATTTAGGCAAGGTGCTTCCCAACCTTTCCCCTCCCAAGGGTATCAACCTCTGGGTCCTTTTTGTCAGGACTTGGATGAAAACCCCTTTCTACGATGGAGGTTTTAGCTGTTTTTTGTTTAACTTAATACAAGGTTTTTTAGACTTTTGTAGCTCTTTGGTATTGTCATGGACGGTTTGTAAATCTATTTATTTTTGAACCTGCCAGGGGGATTCTTTTCATATTTTAGGGGAAAAAAATGTTTTTATATCCTGATGGAGTTGTGGAAATAAAGACTCGCATCAAGGATGTGTGCTGTGTTTTGGGGAGGGTTCCTGGTCCCCCTGTCCTGATTTGAGGAAGACTGGGGCTGAGTCCCTGTCTGGCACTGGTGTCCTCACAGATGCAGGGAGGGGTAGAGGGGGACATCTCCATGCTGGCACCTCTGAGGGTCCCTGGGAACTGCTGAGTCCAGGCATTGAGGGCAGCCCCCAGATAGGACATCCCTGCATGGGCTCACAGGAGGTCCCTGCCCCTCAGGACTCATGTCCCCTGGAGTGACCCACAGGGTCTGTGGTTCTCAGAAAAGCAGCATTTTGAGGGGACAAGTGACCCAGGAAGGGTTCTGGGTGCCCAGACACAGAACCCATCACTTTGAGAGTTCCCTGTGCACGACAGGGATGAGGTCCTCGATCTTTCTCAGTCCTTGCTGCTCTTCCCAGCAGCAGAATGAAGTTCACAGCCCACATCCATCCCCCTCACACCTTCTTGGGCACGTGGGTGATGATGGGCTTGGGGCGGGTTTTGAAGAGCAGTTTGGTTTTGATGAGGGCGGAGACGGTGTAGTGCCCCTGTGGCTCCCCAGGGCTGGGCTGGGAGGCTCCTCCCTGCTTCACCAGCACAGCAAACGGCTTCTCCAGCTGCACCACCTTGCCATAGAGGATGTGGTGGCCCACGATGAGCACAGGGACGCCCTGGGGAGAGTGGAGGGTGAGGGTATGGTAGGGCCAGGCTGTCCACAGGGGGCCCCCAGTGCCACCTGCCTCACCTCACAGGTGTAGTGCAGATCTCCCAGGAGGCTCCCGGCCAGGCTCCCGCTCTGCCGGGGCTCCACCTCGCCCTGCAGCTCCACCAGCACCCACTGTGCCAGGCTCCCGGTGCCACTGCTGCGGGAGAGACAGGGGGGTCACCCGGGGGGGTCACCCGGGGCCTAGCCGTGCCCCGGCACAGGGCTGCAGGGGCTGGACCCCCAAGGGTCTCACCTGGAGATGACGATTTGCACCATGTCAGGTCCTGGGGGGGGGCTGCAGAGACACAGGCAGG